AAAAAAAAAAAAAAAAAAAAACTTTGTATTTAAAATATCTCTCTATTTCCCTAAACTTTCATAAACTTTTCAAAACTATTTTTGGATATAAACTTAATAGAATGTTAGATGGATCCAAACACTAATTTTCACTCAAATTCTAGTACATTCTTACTGAAAAATGGGATGAGTTAATAAGTAGGTCGAGTTGGTGGAGTTCATTTTTGAATCTAGACTTCGTATATCGAGCACAACGGGGAGTTCGACTTTTAACCGAACTCAACCTAAGTCATTGGTCGAAAGCGAGGTCCTTAAGAGGCTATTAGTGTTTCCACCAAAGGAGCTTTACTCAAGAAGTAGACACAGATCAAACTTTTAACTTCGTAAATTCATAATCTTTTGCTCATAAAGACCTTCAAATTGAAGAGAAAATCGTGAACGAGGGAATTCCAGGCAAAGCGTTGCAATTTGCACAAGTATAAGGACAATAAATGCAAGTTCAATTGTTGTATATTACACCGATTTTGCTATAAACAATTTGAAATTCATAAAAATCAACAGGGTATACATATTGAAATGACAGTCAAAAGCAAGTGGTAAGCTCAAAATATTCAACAGAAAATGCGCACCTGCTTAGCTCTGGCATCAAAACAAAGAGAAGGGCTGCTGCATTTGCATATTTCTCTACTCCTTATCAGTACCATCGGCGTTCTCGATCACCCCGAGTAAAGCCAAGGAACCCGAATCAGGTTCCATCGACATCGGTTTTGTTGATTAGAAGGCTTCATCCTGAGCATATAGCTCAGCCATGCACTTGTAATGCTCAGGAATTGGTGCAATACCATAATGCTGTGCCATTCGTTTGAAGTAAGCACAGCCTGCCTCTACATTCTTCATATGTACACAAGCACATAAAACGCCCACGAAAGTGATAGCATCAGGCTTCACATTTACCCTTTCCATCTCACTGAAAAGATTGAGAGCTTCCTGCCCCAATCCATGTACCCCTAAGCTAGTGATCATCGAGTTCCATGTCGGCAAGCTTTTTCCGGGCATCGTCTTGAACACTTCTATCGCGTCCTTTATGCTACCACATTTGCTGTACATGTCAATCAGAGCTGTCCCGAGATAAACACCGATTTCGAAACCATTGTTGATGGCATAGTCATGAATCCCTCGACCAAGACTTAGGATTCCCATTTCAGTACATGCTTTGATCAAGCTCACCATCGTATACTCATTTGGGCAAATGTTCTCAGCCTGCATTCTCTTGAATAGTTCAAGAGCTTCTTCAGGATTTTGATTTCTAATGTATCCATTGATCATTGCTGTCCATGAAACAACGTTTTTACATGGCATCTCATCGAAAATCCTTCTCGCTGCCTGTACATCACCACAAGAGACCAGCCCTGATATCATGGTCGTCCATGACACCACATTGCAAACACGCATTTTCTCGAACACCTTCAGTGCACAACGTTTATGTCCACACTTGAAGTAAAAATCAATCAGATTGTTCTGCACAAATGTATCCCCTGAAAATCCGTATTTGATTAAAGACGCATGAATCACTCTTCCAATGTCAATGGCAAAGGAAGTCGTACAAGCTTTGATGACAAATGGAAATGTAAACTTATCGGCTGCAATTCCTTGACATACCATGTTCTTGTACAACATTAGGGCTTGTTCAGAGAGGCCGTTGATAGTGTTGGCTCTGATTATCAGATTCCAAGTAAACGTGCAAGGATTCTGAATTTGATGAAATAGAAAAATCGCATACGCTATTCTTCCATGGGAGGAGTAGAGATGAATCAGTTTCCTAGTAAGTAATTGATCGTTAGAAATGCCACAACGAATTATCTTGGCATGGATTTGCCTGAGGTGTTTGAAGTTCTTGCAGTTCTGAAGTAAGAAGAGAGCCTTCTTCGCTCCGATGTTACCTCTTGAGCTCAGGAGTAAATTCGTGGTCGCAAAAACGTCATGCGTAGATGAAAGACATGGAACCATTATACAGCTAGTTCAAGAATCCAGATTCAGTACACATTCTACAAGGAGGAGGAGGAAGAAGAAGAACAAATTCCTAGTACTCCACAGGATACAAAGAAGCAATCGAGAAATTGCGAAATTAAATATTCTCAAACCTCAAGCTAGAGAGACAGGCGAGGCTCTGCAATTGCAGCATTTGGACATTTCTGGATCGGATTTTCTTAGAAAATCGTAATCCAAGGGGAATGAGTGCCGGAATAATGGAGACTTGAGATTCTGAATCGAGAGAGAAGGATTGAGTTCAGCATTAAAGAGATGAACATGCCACCGGAAAGCGTGGTGGGGAATTGGGGGAGATGAAATTTCTAGTTCCGATTGATGTACCAAAAATTGTTATCGGCTGCAGATCATACCGATATTCACCCATTTGTGTGGGCTAAATTCTTCCGAGCTTTTCTCTTTCGCGTCGCTTCTTTGTATGAATGCTAATTTAAGTTATAATATTAAAATAAATAAATTATCAAAAATTTAGAAAATATTTTTAAACTTCAACAAAAAACTGAAAAAATAAAAAATATATTTACTTTAGTTTTTATTAATACTTTATTTTAAAATACCAACTTTTTAAAAATATCTTTCAACTTCAAAAATTTCATTAATATCCTTTACTTTTTAAATTAGTTAAAAAAATATTCATTAATAGTATACAATTTTAAAATAATATTAACAAAATAAAAGTTTTAATTTTTTTTACCTTTTATATTTATTAATTTAGATTAAACTAACATTTTGGTCGCGAAAGCATCCCTTCCGTAGTTCAGTGATATAATTTATTAATTTAAAGTAGTTTTACCTAAAATATTTATTTTAAGTTCAAAATAGTTAAACGGTTGGGATATTTATTAATTTAAGTTATACATATGTTTTGTAATTTATTACGTTTTTTTTTTTTTTTTTTTTTTTTTTTNAAAAAAAAAAAACCCTATTAAAAGTTAAAAATTGTAAGCTTACTAAAGTTTAAATATTGTAATATTTTATTTAAATGTAGATAAAAACCGTAACTTATACCTTTCTTTATCTTGCCTGTTGGAAAGGTATTGACATGGGTGGCTGAAGTTCCATGCCAAAGAGAAGTCTGTGAAAGAAAACACTTATTGTTTCCGTATGGGTATGGGTTTAATCAAGGTACTGCAGCAGGTCAAGTTTTAGAAGGGACCGTGAGACAGCCCGAGGTGGAGAGGAAAGTCCGAGGTACTTTATTGCTCAGTCTAGCTTTTATGGAAACTTTAACAGTGGTTGTAACATTTGCGACCGGCAAGAGAAAAAGGCCATCACCAAAGTGTCTTAGCTAGCCTAAGTATAGTTTAATTAGTTAAGATATAGGTCATCGTACATGATAGATATCTCAAACGTTCAAATACTCTAAAAGAAACTGAAAGGAGTAGAAGAAAGGAAAAACATGGACACTTTTACCTTGAGTCTTTACAAATAATCGCGAAAACAACTAATGATACACTTTTATTTCGGAGGATAAAATACAAGCTTTACATTGCCAACATCCTAATCTTAACCCAAACTAAACATTGTATCACAACGTAATTTTGTCAATTCACAGACCTTTGAAGTCCAGGCATGGAGACCCAAGTAGTCGGATAAATCATCTTTTGTCAATGGCGGACGATGTCTCGACCGCGCTCTCTTGGAAAGGAATGGGGTTTCAATGATGCCTCCATTGCTTGTGCCTAGCCAGAAAGGCATTCTCTATCTATTCAGGTGTACCATAATACCATTAGCAAAGAGAGCCTGGTCAGACATGTTGAATGGGTGAATTCTAATTGGAAAGAAGGTATTGGTGCATAGGATATCGTCGAGAACGTTGTTTATGCGATAGAATCCGAAGAATGTCTCACACAAACAAGATCATCCAACTTATTGCCGTCCATTTTGTACAGGGAGACCCCTTCCATCTGCTTATAATGATCTTGTGCTTCTTTTCTCAAACTGTTGAAGGGTGTAAGTTCCCACTTACTATAACCGGAGTGTTTCC